TCTCCTCGAGGATTTTGATGGATTCCTTTCTCACACTGAGGTCCTTCATCCATTTTGAGTCTATTTTCATGTGTGGTGTAAGGAAATGGTCCAATTTCATTTTTCTGCATGTGGCTGTCCAATTTTCCCAACACCATTTGTTGAAGAGGCTGTCTTTTTTCCATTGGACATTCTTTCCTGCTTTGTCGAAGATTAGTTGACCATAGAGTTGAGGGTCTATTTCTGGGCTCTCTATTCTGTGTCTAAGGTGTCTGTTTTTGTGCCAGTACTATACTGTCTTGATGACGACAGCTTTGTAATAGAGCTTGAAGTCTGGAATTGTGATGCCACCAACTTTGGCTTTCTTTTTTAATATTCCTTTGGCTATTCAAGGTCTTTTCTGGTTCCATATAAATTTTAGGATTATTTGTTCCATTTCTTTGAAAAAAATGGATGGGATTTTGATAGGGATTGCATTAAATGTGTAGATTGCTTTAGGTAGCATAGACATTTTCACAATATTTATTAAACTTCTGTTTTAACTTTCTGTGAACTGCTTTGGCATGGGAGGGAAAGGTGGGGACTTCATGACCCTCCACCAGCTCTAATCTCTGGCTTTATTTAGGATCCCCCCTGTGCATTGCTCCCTCACTGCAGTGCAGGAAACTACCTCTATGCAATAAACCGAGGCAATTGGACGGCTCAGCTCACCTCATTTATTTTCCTCTTCTCATTTAATGGAGTTCTGCACTACCTGCTTTTCAACATCCACAAACATGTCTAATTTTGTCTGAGTCTTTGGTTATTTATATTGGGAAGGTGATTTCTGTAGCTGTGATCATTTCATGGGTAGAAGTGGAAGTCTCCCTGAGCCAGATTTTCAGGGGGAACAACTGATGTAAGAGGCTAAGGCCCTAGGAGATAGGACCTTGAAACAGCGTGACAAGTGTGTAAGATAGTAATTCCCCCAGTCTTCTCCCATAAGGACTCATGATGATTTGTTTGCACAGTACATACTGGAAAAAGAGGAATATTTGACCATTTGAAGAAGCATCTGCTACAGAACCCTATCTGATATTGATGTCCACAGATCTAAAGCATCTTATGGCCCCTTTAGAGTGGCAGTGTATGGAGACAGGGTGTCAAATATTCCAGACCCAGGTCTGGCTCTCAGTGGTTCTGCTGGGTTCATAGATCCACCTAGCGGTCATTTCACTGGTCTTTGATGGGTAACTGAGATGGACATATTTGATAGTTGGCAGACCTACATTAACCATGACAGGGTAAGAGCTCTCATAGTGAAGAAGACCATCATGAAGCTCTTGAAGCTGTCTCTACCATTTCAGGCCAAGATAATAAATCAAAACTATCACATCAGTGGTCTTGAAGACCTAAAAGATGCAGAGATGGTGGTCCCATCATAAGGCTATTTGATTCACTAGCCTGGTCCCTGGTAAAACCAGATTGTTCCTGGATTTTGACCACCTCAACCAAGTAATTTTCAACAAGTAATCTTCTGTGCTAAATGTGGTGTCTTTGCTAGAGTAGATTAACACAGCCTCAGGTATACAACAGGCAGCCATTATTCTGAGCAATATATTCCTTTCCATCTGTATAGGAAAGGAGGATCATAAAAAGTTTGCTTTCACTAGCGGGACGAGCAGTAATATAGATTTAGTCTTGCACCTGGACCATGTAAACCCTCCCACCCCGTCATCCTGTGACCTAGACCATCTGGGCATTCCACAAAGTATCACCTTATCACACTGATGTCATCATGGTCATTGTACAGGACAAGCAAGAAATGCAAGTACAGGGGCACCTGGGTGGCTCAGTGGGTTAAAGCCTCTGCCTTCGGCTCAGGTCATGGTCTCAGGGTCCTGGGATCGAGCCCCACATCGGGTTCTCTCTGCTCAGCAGGGAGCCTGCTTCCTTCTCTCTCTCTGCCTGCCTTTCTACTTGTGATCTCTGTCAAATAAATAAAATAAAAAAAAAATGCAAGTACATTAGAGACTGGAGGTACATAAACCTGTGAATATTCAATGATGTTTTTAGAGGTCCAGTGGTCTGGACCATGCCAGGACATTCCCTCCAAAGTAAAGGAGAAATTTTACATCTCCCATCTCACTACTAGGAAGGGAACACACTGCCTGGTAAACCTCTTTGGGGTCTACAGACAGCATATTTCACAGTGTTCTGGGAATAATGTTCTGATACTGCTATCAATTTTGATCATACACGGACAGGTGTAGTCATGGCCTGTAAAGGGCACAATGACCAGGTACTTTATCAGGTAACCTCTTTGGACTAGAAGTACAAGTTGAGGGGGTGTAGCTAGGAATCTAAATGGGGAGTAGAGTGGGGAGAGGATAAATACCCCTGCAGATAGGACAAGCTGTAGCAGCAGGGACTGTGAGCTGTCCCAGACCTTCCTCTGTGTTTTCCCAGGAAAAGGGGCCTATCAGAATCCCAAAGAGATCATTTCAGAACTTATGAAGTAAATGGATCTGAAAGGCACAAAAGGTGGACTGTAGTGGAGACTTACAGTGGGCCCCAATTTCCCGCTCCAGGACTGAAGCTGCTGAGAATGCTGAAAGCTCTTATCAGAGTTCCTCCTGGGAACTACCTTCACCTGTAGTCAGTCACCTCACCTGAGCACATGGCCCTTTCCGGGTCCATGTGGGGGTACATGTCTGGCCACTTGCCTCAATAGGTTACACATTTCTGCACAGCGATCCTAGCTTGAGTGTGAGAGACTGACCAAGGTCTTTGTTGAGACCACTCAGCAACCCCTCCCCCTCTACACAGTCCTGCTTCCTTGACTCCCCCACCATACACTTCCTGCAAACAAATTTCCAATTCAGTCTGTTTCACCAGGAACTCACATTATAGCAAATTAAAATAGAAACACTTCAGGATTAGCTGTGTGGAATGTTGTGCCTGTTGCTCAGGCAATTTCAGAGAGCTTCACGTTGCTGATGGTGGTGGTATGGAAAGATGTTGTTAAATGAGCTTTTCATCTTTACCATAGGGATGGAAATCACTGAAATGGCAAATTTCCAACAACACCAGTGGCACACTTGAGTATGGAGTCTGACCAGTGTGAGGCTGGCTACAGTTATCAGTGCAACTGATGACCTCTATTAGTTGGGATAGCCTCATGTGAATGAAAGTTACTTACCTGACTCAGAGTGGTAGATGAGCTCGAACACTGGGATAGAAACAAGTCTCTGTGCTTCTAGTAAGGATAGCAGAGTCAATGGTTTCTTCTTTACCCTTCCTAAATTGTGTGACCTCGCAGTATATTTGAGTGACTAGCATAATCCATTTGTCAATTGTTGGGTCTTTTTTCCACTCATGGACCTTGAATTTATGCAGAACTATCTACCTCCCTTATCTCCCATCAAGATCCCTATTCCATAATTACCCAATGACTAGCCCTATATCGTAACCCTGGTCTAGAAACCAAGATACCATCTTTTTCATAATTTCAGGGGCTGGTTATAGAAACAAAAGTTCTCCTTAAATTTCTTTCATCTCAGCTTCATTTTCTCCCAGCAATTATCCTTAGGCCTTATTTGGATCCCTTTAGAAAAGCAAAATCCAGGGCACCTGTGTGGCTCAAGTGGATAAAGCCTCTGCCTTCAGCTTGGTTCATGATCTCAGGGTCCTGGGATCGAGCCCCACGTCGGGCACTCTGCTTGGTGGGGAGCCTGCTTCCCCCTCTCTGCCTACTTATGATCTCTGTCAAATAAATAAAAGCTTTAAAAAGAAAAAAAAAGTAGAATCCATTGTGCTTATTCATATTCTTGACTTTATCAATATACCTAACAAAAATAACTCTTAAAACCGATGCCTGTTTGCTTAAGTCCTTTGCCCACAGCACCCATGGGATGTAGCCTACAAATGCATCCTCTTCAAATGTAAGGGCCTACTTAATCAGAGGGAGCCATTTTGTTGTTTATGCAGTAAACTTAGATTGACCCTGCCCCTCCCAGAGGAACTTACTTGCAAAGCCTAGATACAAGGGCAGGTCAGGCCAGGTAAAGACATCCAATCAGTGGGGTGTGCATCTATCTACTAGGGTAAATTAAAATTCAATTGGCCACCCATGTGTAACCTAGCAGCTTTTTTGTGTGTGTGGCAGACCTAGCATGACCGCACAGTTTTCTCTGTGTATTGCAATCTCACTGGCCACCTGTGTATAGCCCGGCTAAACTACCTCTATAAAAGTAAGTCTGGGGGCGCCTGGGTGGCTCAGTGGGTTAAGCCTCTGCCTTAGGCTCGGGTCATGATCTCGGGGTCCTGGGATCGAGCCCTGCGTCGGGCTCTCTGCTCAGTGGGGAGCCTGCTTCCTCCTCTCTCTCTACCTGCCTCTCTGCCTGTGATCTCTGTCAAATAAATAAATAAATAAATAAATAAATGAAAAAGTAAGTCTGTGAGGCTGGGAGGGGTCGCCTCTTTGCAAGAGACGGCCCTGACGGGTCAGTTTGATTCTCGATGCTTGGCGCGAAATAAAGCTTTGTTTGACCTTCGCTTTCTATCAGTCTCATTCCTTTGATTACAGACCCTAATACTTCTTCCTTCCTTTTTAGCTCTAAACCCCAGTAGCTCCAGAGGACAACCTACTTGGTGGTCCTATCCCCAGTCTACTCCAGCCTGGTAAACAACATCTAAAAAGAACACAAACTTATAGTCAGTGGTATTGTAATAGCACTGCATGGTGACAAATGGCAACCAGACTTGGGTAGGCACAGGAGAACATACAGAATTATCCAATCGTTATGCCATACACCTAAGACTAACATAACATGGTGTGTCAAATATGCTACAATCAAGAAAAAAGGGAAAATTAGGAAGTTAAAATTTATCAAAACATGCACACAAACACTTAAAGACCGTACACAGCCCCATTTGTAGCAGACAGAAATGTAAACATAAAGGTGCGGTGGTGTTCAATCCTAACTGCATAAAAGTAACTGTTGTGCATATTGTATCACTGTTGTAAAAACACCAAAAAATAAAAAGAGCAAAACCTCTTTATTTCCTCTTGAGATACAAATGCTCAGTTTGTATGTGGGACCAGTCCTGGAGACCGTGGCTAGCTCTTCCACTTGTTCCAACAAATTCGAGGCCAAACAGGATCTAGACTGTTTCCATCTGTTAATATTTGGCTCATCAAATCTACAGCCTGGTAGCCCGCGAGCAGGACTGCCCGGTAAGGCCGGATGTAGTAACAGGCAAGCACGGAGGTAGGAGATACGGTGGATTCAATGTGTACGTGCAGTTTAGGCCCATGTCCCCACATGCTCTCTAAATTCCATTATTTGGTCAGAGCTGGGAGTGGTATCAGGGTGCTGGCCCATTGTTGCTCCCTGCTCCTCTGATTCTGCTCTTCTGCTTCTGAGGGACAGAAGGGTTAGATCGTCTGGGAGCTGGTGGGGGCCATTTCCTTGGCAGCCTGCCGGGCTAACCAGTACTTGTATCTTTTGGTCTTAGGCCTCTCAAAGTTCACCACAGACATAGGTATCCTCACACTGTCAAGTCCGTTTACCTGTACACAAAACGACAGGAATCCTGAGAGGTCAGTTGGGCAGATAAGAGCTACTACCATACAATCCCACCTTTTCACCAGCCAGAAAGAGGAGACCATATGTGACACACTCACCGTCACCTCACACCAGTACTCCCCCCACTGCGTAATGGGCTCTTCTGGTAACTTTAATGCATGTGGGGCGACCACAACACCAAGCTGCAAAAAGTCACAACCAAAAAGAGATCTGTTTACATTGATGCAACTGTAGGCAACCTCAAAGGAGGTTCTGGAGTTTCCTGTAAAGGAATGAAAAAAACTGAGTTTACCCTGGTTGATGCCTTGGGAGGGCACAGACCTCCAGAGATAAGAGCAGAGAAACTCAGTCCCAATTTCTCAGAAAAGGAGGAGGATTCACTAAGGAAAAACAGGTCTGGAGACTGAAAATCACTTCACAAAAGTACAAACTCTCCAGTGAGTCACATTTCCTAGGTTTTCCCTACCTAGAGAGGAAATAAATGAAACCACCATCTCTTCCTATCTGCCTTCAAATTCTAGCCACACTTAGTCCTTAGCCATTTCCCTCCCACAACCCCTGCAACCAACCAACAACACCTTCCCTAACTCCAGCTGTACGATCACACCCTTCCCTAACAGATCAATCGTTGGGCCTCATTCCCGGGGAAGCTTCTACCCTCAGAGGTACAGCGGTATTTGGGAACACTCACATTTTTGAAGAAATGGCGGGCAACTATTTCAGGGTTTAGTTCCCATTTGACATTATTCTTCATCCCCACCTCCAGATGACAGCTTCTCAGAAATTTCACTGTCTGATAGGAATTATAAACAAGAGATAGGTTAGAGTTGCAATCAAAGGAGAAGAAACACGTTAGCAAGAAGCATAAGGTCTGAGTTCAGGAAAAGGGCACAATTTCTGCCTCACATGCATACAGGGAAGGTGACTGGGAGGAATCGTCTTCTTCTTTTTTTAAAATCTATTTATTTGACAGCACAAGCAGGGGGAATGGCAGGCAGAGAGAGAGGGAGAAGCAGGCTCCCTGCCCAGCAGGGAACCCAACGTGGGGCTCAATCCCAGGACCCCAAGACCACAACCTGAGCTGAAGGCAGACACCCAATTGACTGAGCCATTGTCTCTAGGCTGATTTTGTAGGAAGATGTTTTAGTGAAACTTTGGAGGAGAAGGCCACCTATACCTGGTTGTTCCTAAGCAAGGAGAAACAGGCCATGTCAAAGTTAGACCTATCAATGGGGACCAGTGGTGTATCTCAGAAGAGACTGACTTTTTCTTTTCTTTTTGAGAGAGAGAAAGATCATGCATGAGTGAGGAGGGGTATAAGGAGAGAATATTAAGCAGGTTCGACGTAGAACAAAAAGCCTGACATGGGGTTTAACAACCCTGAAATCATGACCTAAGAGGAAATCAAGTCGGACGCTTAACCAACCAAACCACCCAGGCGCCCCAGGATAGAATGACTTTCATAGACCATATTAACCCAATACTTCTAGCCCTTCAGTCCTACCCCTACCCCATTAACAATTTCTTCCTGCTTCCAGAATGAAGTATAAATTCATTAGCTGAGGATTCAAAATGTTTTACAAATCTCACCCCAACCTCCTTTCCAGCCATATGTTTTGTAATATTACCCTATGTAAGTCCTCTGGTTTTGCTAGACTGGTTCTACTTTCCATGTTAAAAAAATGCCTGAACCACCTATACTTTTTTTCCCTTAATACCTTTCCCACTGTCCTGTTCTATCCAAAGCCTACTAATCCCACAAGGCCCAATTCAATCCCATCTGAAGAAAAGCCCTCTCCAGTCACCCTAACCCTTTTTGATCCATGTCATTCTTATAATCTACTGCCTTGAGGTTACTGATCACCTTCTCATGTGCCTATGTTCTCTGCGACTTGTCTGTAAATATCCTTGGAGGCAGAATCCTCATCTCCCATTTTTCCATGGGTCCCCTCGTAATCGGGCTGGGGCCCTCCTCAATAAGGGCACATCACCCAACAAGTGAGCATCTCCCAGGAGGTCTCAATACCAGTTATGGCAGCCAAACATTTCCCCTTTCTCCTACACTTGTCTCTGCAATCAGGAGATTTCAAGGAAATCAAGGAGCCTCTCAGGAAGAAAATGGTGACTCCTTAGGTGACAAGTAACAACTTTCTATGTTTTTACTCACCATCTCACCTGCCCTGGTCTGGATCTTCTCTAATTTTCCTTCTTGTCTCAGCTGGAAAAGAAAGTTAAAGATGAGAAAAAGAAAAGAAATAGGAGTCCATGATAAATATTGAACTTACTATGCTGGACAGGCTGAGTTTCTGGATTCCTGTACTTCTAATCTCTATTTCATTTTTAAGTTAGATTGCAAAGGAAAGAAAGTTGCAAGAAGAAATCTTATGATTTTTATTCCTCCAAGGCCCTCTGCCTTCCTTGCACGCTCACCCATTTCTCCTCCTCAAACAGTTTCTTGTTTTCAGGGGAGGCATATACAGCCAGACCTTGAGGCAGTAGTTGATTCCGGCCCAAAGATTTCTTCACTGAGACCAGGTCACCCCGGACTCCAAGTCCTACCAATGAGAACAGATACTGGATCAGACTCCTGTTTGGAGTCCCTAAACAGGAGCAGAGAATCAAAGAAAGAAGCAGCTATCATTCCCTCATAGCGCTTATTCTAGAAAAAATGTTAATATTCACTAAGAACACTTAGAAACTTCTAATTAGTTTCTCTCGGCCTGATTTAGAAATTTAATATTCCCTGTACAAAGTGAGAGCTGTCCCATCACAGGATCTCAGTAACTGTAGCACATGCTGTTAGGCCTCCTTTTTCCTCCTCGCACTGTTTCATGTGCCTTTCTCTATGCAGGAACGCAAGGGCACAATCATAGTCCTTGTTATGGCTTCTTCTCAAATATACAGCAGCTCATTTCTACAAAGTAGAGTAAGGACGAAAACAGCTAAGGGAGGACGGCAGGGAAAAGCTGATGCCAAACAGAGCCAGCCTAAGATAGGAAGTATCTTTGCCGGGCCTCACCTTCCACGGACTGCGTGAGGATGAGCTCCAGGCTGCCTTTGGGCCCGTGTTTCGTGTCCTCTACCAGCTTATAGACCCGGTGTCGCCGGCGTAGGCGAGGCTTCCGGCCCTCTCCGGCCAGCGGCACCTTCCACCAGCGCTCCACGATGACCGTGCCCTGGCAGCCGGGGACGGAGGGTGAGAGAGTCTCCCGGAGAACCCCCTGCCGCCCTCAGCCGCCGGAACAGCCCCTGCCAAGCCGCGGCCCCCCAGAACGGTATTTGGGCGTAAAGAGCCCCACCAGAGGCGAGGACCCCCTGAGCTCAGAGGTGGCCCTCACCCGATTGTGAGAGAGACTGAAGTCGCGCTCCGGGCCGGGGGTGCCCCCTGCGAGTCGCGGGAGTAGCAGCCCCCGCACTGTTCCTCTAATCAACGCTCTCCCCGCGGCCGCCGCCATGTTCCCAGCGCCGAGGGAGAGTTGAAGAGGCCCCCAGCGTCAGGCGCAGGAAAGGCCCTAGCGGCTGCCCGCGGCGCGCCTGAGCTTCCGCCTCTCCGGCTGGCGAAGCCTAGGGGCAGACCCGGCCCCTGTCCGAGGGTGGCCTCCTAGCAGCCTCCTGGCTGTCGGGAGCTGGGGGAGCTAAGGCAATGATCCGTGATTCGGCGTTTTCCTCACTCCCTCCTCCCTGTTTCTTCTCCGAGCAGGGACGCCCTGACAGATCATGGCATGAACCGGAGAAAGACACCGTCTCCCTCTTGACTTCACTTTATCTTTAAAATGGGGGCTTTGGTTTATTTCTTGTGGCTCTGAGGTCACTTGCGGCTGTGGCATTCTGTGATAACTGGATGCCAAGGGAAGAGGGTTGCTGCGCTCATTTTTCCTTACTTGAGATCTTCCTAAAATGGGGGAGAGATGGGATCCTCTGGAAGACTATGGCCAGCCAGGAGGAGGCCTACCCTTAATCTTTACAACTGTGGTACTCCAGCTAGTATTTAAAGAATTCTAAATTGCAAGGGAGATAAGCCACAGAAAAGGAAAGCATGGCAGTGGTGAGGGAGCAGAAGGCACAAAGGACAAAGCACAAGCTGACAACCCACAACCCCCACCCCCACCCCAGCTTGTGCTTTGTCCCCAGCTTGCCTTCTGCTCCCTTAGCAGCAGGGTCCAGACTGTTCTGTGGAGGATCTTCCTACCGGAGAGAAGACCACATACATGGAGTGAATAGGGTCTGTTTGGCATCGGAGATTGCGTAAAGGTGTTCTATGCATCCTGTTATTTGACCCTTAAACGTCCTCATTTCTCCTAATTACACTTGCCTCACTTAGCTTCTGGGACACCAGTTTTGTTTCTGTTGTCTTCCAACTTCACCAATTTTCTTCACAGTTTGCTTTGCTGATTTCTCCTTTTCTCCGAACTTTACTTGGAGTGCCCCTAGGACAGTCTTTGGATCTTGACTCTTTTCAATATACACCCCTGCTTTGATCTCATTCAATCTTTGTGATTTCCAAAGTTCTTTCTCTCTCCTAGACTTCTCCTAAACTCAGACTTGAATAGCCCACTGGTTATTTGTCTTCTCCTTATTTATCTAATGGACAATTCAAAGTTAACGTGCTTCAAATCAAACCCATCTCTACCCTGCCTCAAACTGCCTCACCTGCAGCCTCCCCCATCTCAGTTGATGGAAACTGTTCTTTCAGTTCTTGGACTCAACTTATTTTTCTCAGACTCCCAGAAATTCTGGGGGTTCTATCTTTAAACTGTTTCCAGAATCCAACCACTTCCCACCATCTCTAATGCTTCAGCCTGGAGTAAGACACAATCTTTCTTCTGGATCACTGCAGTAGTTTGTTGGCAAATCTGCCTTAGTGCTCTGCAATTTATTTACAACACAACAGTCAGGATCTTTAAAAAAAAAAAAAAATACATCAGATCATGTCCTCCCCGTACTCAAAACTTTGCAGTGACTTCCCCCTTTACTCAGAATAAAAGGAAAGGGCCATACAGTTGTCTACAGCGCCTCCCTAATTTGCCCCGTTAGCTGTTTGACTTCATCCCCTCCTTTCCTCACAGCTTACACCATGGCCTCCCAGTTTCTTGAAAACACTCAGGCACTTTCTCCTCAGGGCATTTGCCCTAGCTGTAGCTTAGGCATGGAATGCTCTCACCCCCAGATGTTGGCTTGGCTAACTCCCCCACCTTTAAGTCTTTGATAAAATGTTACCTTTTCATTGAGGCCCATGTGGATCACCCTACTTATTTCTCCAGGCTGCCTACCCCCTTCACACTCATAATTTTCCTTTATCCTCTTTTCTCCATAGCACTTATCATCTAACATACTAAATTTTATGTTTATAGTTTGTCTTCTCATTGTTTCAGATTTATTAGAGAGAGAGAGAGAGTGCAACAGGGAGAAAGGGAGAGGGAGACAGACTTCCTGCTGATTGGGGGAGCCCCACGAAATCAAGAGTCAGAGCACTTAACTGAGCCACCCATGCGCCCCTGTCTTCTCACTGTTAGAAGCTAAGTTCCATTAAGCAGGGATCTTTGTTTTGTTTACTGGTGTATCCCAAGTGCCTAGAATATTGCCTGGCTTTCAGTAGGCCCTCAATCAATATTTGTTGAATGGGTGAGTGAATGAATATGCAGAGGTTTCAAACTGGTGGCCCCAGAATCAAATTTTGCTCACAGTGTTGCCTTTTTTTTCATTAACAGTTATTCTTTTTTGAGGTATAGCCCCTAGTTAAAATGTGGAGGAATTTAACACAAAAATCTATCTTTCCATTTTATGTTGAAAAATCATACGGGGGCACCTGGGTGGCTCAGTTGTTAAGGGTCTGCTTTCAGTTCTGGTCATGGTCCCGGGGTCCTGGGATCCAGCCCTGCATTGAGCACCGCACTGGGCTCCCTGCTCGGCAGGGGACCTGCTTCTCCCTCTCCCATTCCTTCTTTTGTATTCCCTCTCTTACTGTCTCTCTCTGTCAAATAAAATATTTTACACACACACACACACACACACACATACACATACACAGAGTAAAAAAAAAAAAGAAAAATCATAGATCTGGGACCACTGAGTCTGCATTTCTACAACTGGGCAGAGCTGTGTTGAGCTTTCCACTTTGCTACAGCCCCACCCAGCAGCTAATTCCATTAGCTGTCCTGGCTCCTGGAGGCTGTTTGCAATTTCTACCCTACAACGCAATGAGATAATTCAACCATGTGTACTACCCCTGGATTATTAAAGGTAGGGATATAATAAAAACATTGAATTGATAGGAACTGGGAACCAACGTATTAGGTCAGACATTGCGTTAGGGCCTCCGAAGCCTTCAGTGCTAAAGACACCAACCAGTTAGTGGCTTAAGTGCGATGTGTATGTGTGTGTGTTACAGGAGAGTATGCACACGCATGCGTGCATATGCCAGAATAAGGAGCCAGGTTGCATGCACTGGACAGGTGCTCAGTGAGCCTGTTTACCAATCAGTACAGAAACTTAAGTATTCTAATAACTGGAACTGCTAAGAAGTACTTACTAGATGAATAGGAGCCATAGTTAAGGGGGTTGGTGGGGTGGGGTAGGGGATCAGCAGAGTGGAGTCCTGAAGTGACATAAGGGCTGACCCCTTGCCCATGTCATAGTACCCACCGGGTCACAATGACACCAGGTTGTGTGAACCTCTGCCACCCTCTCTGAACCTCACTTTGCCGCAGGGAGGCACTGAACTGAGAAACTGCCTTGTTACAGGTTGCAACCCTCTGCCTTCTCCCTTTCTTATATCAAGAGGGGAAAAACACGGAACTACCTCTACCCGATCTGGTCACCATACGCCTTTTACCTTTACTGTTACAAATACCGGATCACCCTCCGGGAGAAGATGCTGCCTTGTTGTTATAAAAGGTAATTGTTTTCATCTCTACTTGTAGTTGTTCATATAAACTGTCAGGAAAAATAAAAGAATTTGAAGGAAATTCCCAAGTGGTAAGTGATAATAGCAAAAGAGGGTGGAATGCTGGCGTGGAACTTTAAAATTTTTCCATCTGGCTAGCCTGGGAGAATGGAAACAGGCTGGGCAACAGAAGATACAGAAGGTAGTGCCAGAGCCCAGTCTTATGTACCTGGAAGTTAGGAGCCTCTCCCCTTCTCAGACACAGAGGGAACTAATTTGGGCCCCTTTTCCCAACCAGCATCACTTATAAGGAACGGGAGGACTTGACACTCCGGCCCCGTTCCTGCCTTCAGTGCTCCTGAGTCCCTAGCAGGCCTCCAGGTGGTCAGAAGCACCAAACAGGGTGATCACAACCAGCTTAAAGAATTATACTCGGTAAGTGGCCTCTGTGCTGGCGCCGTGCCAGGGAAGTCCCTAGCTTGCTGTGATACTTTGTGAAGAAGGAGCATTAGCTAGTTGGAAAAGAGTCTGTAGATCTTGGAGCTCATGTACAACAGCTAGTTGCTTTAGAAACAAGGATTCTGGCCCAGAGATATTAAGTCAAGATCATAGAGCTGGTGGTGAAAAGCAGAATGGGAAAAGAGGAGGTGGGAACAAAGAGCAGAACGTAGTAAGACTTCAGGGAAATAAAGTTGTTTAGATGCTAAGCAGGGTCTAGAAACCAGAAAGCCTCAACTTGCCCCTATACCCTACTGCAGTAACATGCCTGTGGGTGACCTCTGTATTTTAAATGAGAAATAGAATTCAGAGAAAACACCTATCATGGAAAAAAGTGATAAAGCATTACCAGTGAGACAGTAAACAAATGGAGTAAGACCTCTGATGTAAGTTTCCAAAGGGCTGGTGTGCCTCTCAGGTGAGGTCAGCAGGCAGTAAACCTGCAACTGCATCGACCCCTTTCTAGATTGTTTGATATCAAGGAAAACTCCATGGTAGAGAATTAGGTCCTAGGACTAAGGGATAGAGTAAGACTTTGGCTCCAATTCTCCCAGGCTCCCTGTTAGCACATAATTAGCTCTCTCAGACACAGCCAAATCGGCCTGCGATCTGATCTGAGGTCGAGATGAGAACAGAAAACTATTACTCTTTTATTCCTCTTCCAGGCTGGGAACCTGACGGTGCTGGCTACTGACCCCCTGCTCCATCAGGACCCAGTGCAGTTAGACTTCCATTTCCGCCTCACCCCCCAGACCTCTGCCCATTGGCACGGCCTTCTTTGTGACCATCGACTCTTTCTGGATATCCCATATCAGGCCTTGGATCAAGGCAACCGGGAAAGGTGACTGAACCCAGATGGGAAAGCAGGAAAGAGGAGTGAGAGGGGAAGGGGCAGAGGGTTTCCTTCTTTTATGTCATAATCAGGGAGTGGGGATGCTAACCGGTGAGGGTTGATTCAGAAGCTAGATACTCTCGCACCACTGAACTGGCAGGCAAACAAGCCTGTGAGCTGAGCCAGAATCTGGGATTCAAGGAATCACAGCCCACAGGAGGCTGCTGGGCTCAGATTCAGAAACATAGAAGTGAGGA